ATTCATATAAGTTCGTCAGTTAATGCAAAAATAGGCTAAACAAAATTCAAGGTAACTGTCAATGCAATTCCTCCGTAAATAAGATGTAAAAGTAATTAAGCCCTTGCCATGTCATAAATGACGATGCAGAAAAAAACTCAAGTGTCTTTTGCATTCTACTTTTACAAGGAAATCGTTGATGCTAATGGTTACCAATAATAGCTTCATTAAATAAGACAAAGAAAAACCCATCGATGATAATAAAAATTGTTTCAACATGCATGGTAAAAGAAACAAGAAAAAATGTCCTATTTTACACCAAGCAATAGTGTGATTAATGTGAGCATAGACTTTTGGATTTGAAAAATTGATTATATTCATTAGTATAAAGATATTTATAATACCGAAGTCGGTTATTGAAGTCGCAATAAAATAGGTCGAGCAAGGAATGACACAAATCTGTTGCGCAAGGAATGTTATAATATTAAGAATAGAGCCAATGTTGCCAATGATGTACAGTAAAACAAGTATGTATTGATCTATTATTGGAAGAATCGTTGCTGCTCGAATCACATGTGCGGCCAAGGTCGATACTGAAGTTGTTGTATTCGACATGTTTCTGTTCACTGCAAATGAAACACGCACTATATCTGAAATCAAATTCAAGATAAATGAAAGCATCAATATGTCATTCTGATCTTCATAACAGTTTTCATCTTCGCTGCTACTAATATTATTTTTTGATAAGCTTTGACATCTGTCTTTAGTTTCAATATAGTCATTAAAAATCACTATCAAATGAAATTATTTCATAATTAACATCTTCTAATTTTCTCGTTGTTGATGTCAGATATTATTTACAAGACATTGATCTAAACGATGAGAAAAGATGATGTGGATGCATTATTTAATAAAAGATTAGCAGTCATACTCTTTGGTCATCATCTGTCGGATTATTATAAAACTCGATATTTGTCTCATTACTTATGCCGTATAGGTGACTAGTTATAGGCAATACCATTCAAATAAAATCATATAATTATTTTCATTGCCAGTTTTATCAGCACTACTATTTGACAAAATTGTTTCTCGAATCCGTTTATCATCGCTATTAACCCATTGGCTACGAGAATGTCATAGGCAGATGCTGCAAAAATTATTCGTACGATTTCGTTGTTTGTGACATATTTTTTGTTGTTCGATGTCACCCCAATCCAAATCATATAGAAATTTTTTGTCCTTAAAATAAGCATAGTTTTCAAAGTTTCATCTCGTATTCAACGTAGACTCACCAGGGAACATTCCCAGGTGTCCGAGCGCTTTTCGGTTGGGACTTAGTGCATCTTGTAGATCTTAGTGACCTATGTCTACTATAAAAAAGATTCGTGCTTATTGCCTGTTTCTGCGAAGATCGAACGTTTTTAATTTTATAACTGAGTATGTTCATAAGGTCTCAACCGCGTTATACAGAAATGATCTCCGATTTTGACGAAACTTTCTGTGTTTGTAGAGCTTTTAATTCTGAGTATTTTGATAAAAAAATATTTTGGAAACACTTTTGTATTGATTGAGATATACTCAAAATACTGTAAGCAGTAAAAACTCAAAAATCCTCAAGAAAATTTTTTTCCAGAGTTTTTGGGTTTTTACTGCTTACAGTATTTTGAGTGTTACGCGATCAAAGCAAAAGTGTTTTCAAAATATTTTTTTATCAAAATACTCAGAATTCAAAGCTCTACAAACACAAAAAGTTTCGTCGAAATCGAGGGTGTGTGGGTGTGGGTGTGATTAATGAGATCCCAAACCCACACCCACCCACACCCACACTCACACTTACACCCCACCCCACATCACACCCACGTACATCAACTATAAAAATTGCGATAATTTTAATTTATTCTTCGTTTTTTTTTTGAAAATAAATTATTTGAAAGACTCTGATAATCAATTAGAAATTTATAACAACCAGAGTTCGTGAGCTCCGCATTTTGGTTAAATAACGGACAGTACCGAGAAGTTTTCTTGCGGTAGATTTCAGCATGTGTATAGATGATATTAATAAGTTCCATTATATTTTTTGGAATCGTACACATGACATTCCATATCCAACCGACTCCATCTCTGATGAACATCAGGTATACAGATGGTTGATCATTTGCTCTGAATGGATCGGAGTGTCGAAATGAAATTTTTCCGTCTTGGTTTGAAACGACGATAGAAAAGTAGTGTTGGAGATTAAGTAGCTAGAAAGTTAGAAATAAACGAGTGAAATGAATAATTATGTAAAAAAAAATCGAGTGTCTACGAGATTCTATTACGTAGTGTTTGAGATTCAATAATTTGAAAGCAAAGAATATACAAGTGAAATAAGTTGTTATGATTAAAATAAAACAGCTATGAATGTGTCTTAAGCAAATCTCTTTTGACAATGAAAAAGTATGACTAATAGTAAATAAAAAGAAAAAATTGTTGATATTTATATATTGTTTGTCTTAATTTTAATGTCTGATGAAGTATCTCATCGAGATACGACATATCATAATGTTGAATTTAGATAAATTATTATTAATATCAAATTAAATTCAATTAAAATTTTAAAATTTTAAATAAAAATATTAAAACAGTTAAAAATAAGATAAAAAGAAGAGTATTAAATGATGTGAAATATCTAGTATTTCAACTTAGTATGAACTAGATGGCATAATATCAACAACAATGTTCAGCCTAGCTGTAGGAGAGAAACACTTTAAGAGAATATTTTGCAGTTTCACACCAAAGTCTTATTATTTGAATTTGCTCTTTGACAATAATAGGATGTGATGATTCCAACAAGAGTGACGATGTTATAAAGTAATATACCACGCAGACTCATTCTCAAGTCTAATCTGTGTTCCAAATCTAAACTATATCTAAATGTAAGCCGTCAAATCTAAATTCTATTGACGATTTATTGCATTTTTAGTGAAAGCCAAAGTATTGAAACATTCTTGTGTACATTTGCCTATTGCAAAACATGACTATTAAGCTTGAACCATTCCAAGCCATTCGATTAGTTCGGAATGAGATTTTTCCCTGTTAATTATGTCAATAGTTGTTCCTCGATAGAATGACGTCCATACCTATCCCGCAATAGAATGACGTCAATACCTATCCCTCAATAGAATGACGTTCATACCTATCCCTCAATAGAATGACGTCAATACCTATCTTGCGATCGAATGACGTCCATATCTGTCCTTCGATAAAATGACACCAATATCTATTTCTCAATAGAATGACGTCAATACCCGTCCCTTGATAGCGTGACGTGAATTGTCTACCACATCGCTCTTACTTTTGACGTCACATCAGTATTTCACTCGTCTCTACTTCAATGATATTTCTATTCAAGTCTATCCTTGATTTTTCGTTATGTCAGCTTCCTCTCTGTATCATCGTGTATAATATATAAGGAGAACGAAAAAATACTTGATGTATGGTTTTCGATTGTAAAAAAGTAAACATACGTGTAATCTCCATCTGCACTGCATATCTTGGATCAAGAATCGTTACAATAGTTTAAACAAAGGAAAAGTAAATATTTTTTAAAATCAGTCACCTTTATGATAGAATTTTTAATCGATATTAGACCAAAAAAAGTCTTGCCATTAAAAATTTGTTTTCTGAAAATATTGTTGATTTCCGAAGCAAAAATTTTTATCTCATCATGATTGCTCGATTACAAAGGAAGATTCCCATCGTTTTTCTATTTCTGATTTGTTTTGAGTAGTCTCTGCAGTTATACTCAGATAAATACTTTAATTAAGACATTGTTATTATCTCAAAAGTGTTGTCTGCAGAATATTCCGTTCGATCATCAATAAAGATAATTTGATGAGAAGTATTTTTTAAATTTCAATCTATTCATTAGAAATTTTGCACGACAAGATTTCTACTTGTCTTGTAGGGAAACTATTCTTGAGAAACGGTTTCAGTCATTATTTCTTTTCTTTTTTAAGCGATGTAGATTAACATCACTGACATCCTAATATGTCAAAAATGTTCTGAGCAAAGTTATTATTCCCAAATAGATATTTTTTTATTTTATTGAATCATATGACCAGGAAATGAATTTATCCGAATTATTTTCTCCTATGCTAAAGACATAGCTACCCAAAATATTTTCGATTCAATTTTATGATCCTCAGAATCTGGCTTCACTTCCAATTACTTTTCAAGAATTTTGTAAAGAATTTATCACGACTCATTTTTTTTTCATGCATCGGATCCCTCTAGGTATCAGAAAAAAAAATTAGTTGTCCTTCTATTTGAAGCCTTTATAGTTCGATAGCCTTGAGTGCACGTATTCCAAATATCATACATTTTTATGGGAGCACTTTATGAAAGCCTTAAAAAACAGATTTTGATTTGAAAATTCATTAAATTTCGGCTTATATTCGTCGAAAATACATTCATTCGATATAGATTTCTTTTTCTATCCAAATCTATAAGAACCTCTAAGACACTTAAATTTTTTCTGAATATGTAATTCAGTCTATTCAGAAAAGAATTTAAGTGTCTCGATGGTTCTTATAGATTCTGATAGAGAAAAAAAAATCTGCATCGAATGAATGTATTTTCGACGAATATAAGTTGGAATTTAATGAATTTTCATATTGAAGACTTGTTTTCAACGTTTTCATAGTGTCTCCGTAAAAAAAAACATGATATTTGGATCAGCGCACTTAGAGCTATCAAACTGTAAGAACTTCAAATAGAACGGCGACTAAGCAGGTTTTTTTCGATACCTAGAGGGATTCTAGACATAACAAAAACAAGAGTAGTGATAAATTATTTAAAAAATCGTGAAAAGGAACCAGAAATGAAAGCTAATTCTCAAAATAATAAAATTAGATCGGAAATATTTTGCACAGTTGTGTCCGTAATGTAACACTTATCTTGTTTTTTTTCTTTTTTGAAAAAAATTAATTTTTTAGTTTTGTTTGATTTATTCAAGATATTAAATAAAACAATAATTTACAATGGAATTTGAACAAAATAATGGCAAAGTCATTATTACAAATATTCCAAATTCATCTCTTTCAAAGCAACAATTAATAACTACAGATTTAGAAATACGACGAATACGAAAATATCTTTTACTTATATATGGAATTGGTCTTGTAAGTATTGTCTTAAACAAACAGATTGAATAATTTTTTTCTGATAAAAGGAAAAACCAGATAAATTTTTATCGTGTTATTAAATTGATAAATTTTTCTCAACATGATATTTATTTAAGGTACTTTGTATTTATGGTTTAATTTATTCAATATTTTCCAATAAGATTATATATTGCTCAATAACAAATGGACGTCTTGAAGAAATCGGCGAATGTATCGTTGCAATTCTATTCTTTGCATTGGGATTATATTCTGCTTCTCGATATTCTGAAACAGGCTTACGAGTGGTAAGATTTATTGATTGATTTTATATTAGAGTGTTGTTTGAAATATTTCAACTAAATTATATTCATTTTAATCAAAAAGAACTTTTTTGATTTAATTTCAGGGTGTCTCCCACTAAAATATATCAGTTCTTCGATCAACTTTGTGGTTTTCACTTATTTACTATAATGTGGTCAAAAACTAGTTCTGATTACATATTCTTGTTCTTGAAAGTCTGGTAGATTAAACAGTATATTGCATTTCAATTTTCATTGATTCACCAAAAATTTTTCCTAGACTAGATCAGTATTCGGAGTAAGACAGTAATGTGGCAAATTAAGTCTGTAAGAATTTTCTTAAGTTATGTTTTCAAATCTATTGACTATAATTGTACTTTTGAAGAGTAGATTTTGAAAATTTCTCGAGAGTTTTATTATCAACCATGCTTAAGAGTTTTAGCCTTCAATCTCACGATATTTCGCTACACATTCAAGTTTGATCAACTTTGAGTTATGTTTAATACTTATATGTGATAAATAGTTGACAAAATTTCTAGATTTTAGAAGTGAACCTAGACTCGATTCGAGTGAGAATTTAAATGCTGAGCAAAATTATATGTATGGTTTATAGCTAAAATGTACATACAATCGAAAAGAAAACTTGAATGTTTCTTCCAATGAAAGTGAAGTCAAAGATACATTAAGATAATGTTTAAGGATTATCTCTACAAAGGAATACAGAATTAACATAGATATTTCAGCATTATACTAAGTAGTTATCCAGAGCAATAAAAGTAGAACTCGTTTATAATTTCAAAATGAAAACATTTACTGCAGTTATTGGAATTCAAATCATCATTATCAGAAGATTTCTTTGTGTCATCTGTCGAGAAACTGACCGAGAAAAATTTCTGTTTCATCTCACAACTAGTTAGCATGTTGGTGTTCTCGCATATTTATAATGCAGAAAAATTTCTGCTGACTCTACGGAGAACATTGACGATAATCTCGATACAATTTACGAATATCACTTATAAGACATTCTCAATAGAAGATATATTCAAGTTTTATCTTCAATTATACCTTTTAGCTATAAACCATGTGTATAGTTTCGTTTTAGATTCAATTCTGAATCGAATCATATGTAACTTCACTTTTAAATCGTAGAAATTTTATGTATCACTTATCATCCATGAGTGTTAACCTCTATAACTACTCAAGGTTTCAAGTTAAACGGTGGCTGCTTTCCCTATCATCAAGTAATGTTAAGCAGGTCATAGCTGCAGGCTAAGTTTTGTTTTTTATCGATGTTAGAAAAAATAATGCGATATCTACATTTCGATCATTTCAAGTTGAACTGAAATTTCAAATACAAGATTTATAGTCACTAAACTTGAGAATATAACTTAAGAGTAGGGATCTGCATGATCACAACTTTTTAGATTTAGTTAAGACTATTATTTATTTTTAAATAGTGCTATGGCATCACATATTCCACTAACTTACTCGTTAGTAATCTGCAATTTCTATCGTTCAAGAAAAAAGAGGAATGATTGGTCAGTAATGACTGAATTACTTGAGTTCGAAGTGAAAATATTTTTATTCAAACCACAGTTTTCATAAGAGTGTCCGATAGAAGAAGTTCTTTCTTTTCGATCTGCATAATGACGTTATTCCTAACTAGTCTTATTCGAGACTTATAAAACTTCCTCCGAGATGTAATTATACAGAAATACTTCACCATCTTTAATTAAATAGTTAAATATTTGGATTTACATTTGAAAACATCTGACTAGAGCTAACCTATCAATTATTCTGAAAAGTGATAGAAGCTAAAAATTTGGCAGAAAATCTAAAATTTTTCACACATTGTGCTTCATCTGGCTCCCTAGCAGATGCTGAATAATAGAAACTTAGCACGTAATAACTGGATTTCTGGCAGAACCAACTGTGGATTAGAAGCGTGCCTAGTCTCAATTATTTGGTTACGGCATAGTCATTCAGAACTGCTTCGCAAGTACCTACATAAGAAATTCAATATGCCACTTTATCATTTTCTATCGATTACTAATATGGTCCAGGAAAACTTTTTTGCCGAAATGATGAAAATTCGATAAATGATCAAATTCGTCAGAGCTTAGAGAACAAGAATATAAAATCAAAACTAATTTTCGATCATACTATGATAAAAATGTGAAGATCACAAAGTTTAGTAAATTTTGAGTTTTTTGGGGTCATTAGTTAAATTTATGCATCATATGTGTCTTCACAACGCAAGGGTATTCATGGCTAACTGTTTTACTGTATATATAACGCGTCATGCTCTACAAGATAAAGTATATTTCCATCAATTCGTGTAGACGAACCCTCATGAAATAGTCCATTACTAAATAATGAATAGAGGATATTTCAAATAAGATCTTTTACATTTTATTCAATATGTTTGTGAAAACAATTATAATAAAATATTATTTAGATAGCATGGTTGGGTATAATTGACTTGATTGGTAGTGTTGTTGCAATTTTTATTCTTGTTATATTTTCATTGATGAATTCAAAAAGGAAGAGTTCGATCGGCATATCATTAATTGATGATCTAGAGAATAGTCATGCTAAACGAACCAAACAAATCAATCCTTTGGTTTGTACTATTGTGTTTCTTTTGAGTTTTGTTCTGGTGGTAATTATTTTCTTTTTCTTTTTGTTAATTTATAGAAGAATTTCTTTTTTTAATTTAATAGGTTATCATCGTGATCTATACTTTCAAATTAACTAAACTTATATCTGCGAAAAAAACTCAAGCTATACAACAAATTGAACGTGTTGTGTATTCAACTGCATAATTAGATTAACATTGTTTCCTTTTTTCT